GTTTTCAGATCGTCTCTTATATCATGAATGCAAATGAAGTCTGTGTTTCCAAGACTTTTGGGTCTTTAGTGAAAATGCAATACCTAACGTTGAAGTGTACTTCTAATATACGGAATGTTATAAAATAAGAGACCATTTCGATCCAATAACTAACTATACAAATTTTTGCAAAATGAGGATTGCCTGAATATTTGCATCACTAAACCGAAATACTAAGACAATTAAAACAGTGATAAAATTAACTATCAGTCTCGAAGATTATGAAATCTGATCCGCAATAATAATGTGAAAAACCCAAAGTAAGCTATAGTATGATGCATCAGGCCACAATTACCAAGTTTTGCGGCGCATTTCGTTTTTAATATTAAATCAATTAAAACTGTGGAAAACAAAAATTTACCAGAATGACACATTAGTAACATTAAATTTCGTAGCTGCAGAAGCCATAGATCCTCGAACTATACCAAATTTCTAAATAAAAACGTCTTTTAGTTCTCATAGTTTTTTTCTTATGTTCATATTCTAACTCAATGTAATTTCAGGAAATTTTGAGTTAGATTAATGATAGTTGCTTCATGGGCTGAATGAGATAATTAACTATTTTCAAGAAATAGAACAGCTTGCTAGAGATGAATATTTTACTATTTATATATTTACTTTATATATATTTTCTTTATATATATTTACTTTATATATATTTACTTTCTAAAATTATATTTACTAAAAATTCAGAAACAAGAATGCAGATTCTTCTTTAGATAAACTATATATTACCTTTACACTCTCGCTAATTTGTGACAATGGGATGTATTTACAATGTTCAATATTTTCAGTTTAAGTCATTAGCCTTAAATTTTTAATTTGAATAAATTTAAAGTACTGTGCATTTACTATAAATTTTTATAGAAAGTTAAGACAAATTTCTTCCCATATCTTAAGCTGAAATCCGATCTCTTTAAATAACAAACTGAGCCTCTCACTCAGTCGGAATGTATATAATATAGTATGTGCTTCAAAGTGAAACGAATTGTCGTTTTAAAAGCACTTAGTCCATGAAACACTATTACCAATGAGTTTCTAAAACATAGGCAGAGTCTGGTATCAAAGTTGTATTTGACAGAGAACTACTCTAAGTAACTCAAATGTGTGAGAGTAATATTTCTTAATTAATGACAGGTAAATGCTTGCGGTTCAAGTGAATTCGGAAGCCTTTTGAAGCATAGAAGTATCTGTTGTCACCATCACATTGAACTAGAACCAGAAATTGTTTAAAACGAAGAAGAGATACTCTGAAAATAACCGCTTCTATAGACACCGGCAGATATCACGAAACTCTTTCCTTTAGACACTGGCATGAATGGTCACCGAATATGAACTTGGTCGAGAGCAACCCTACAGTTATATAAGAATTCGATCCAAGAAGGAAATACATAAATTAGCTACCTCTTAGAAAATACAGCGGTAATATCGCCAACGTTGTGCTTTTAAAAGTACTGATTTTTTCGATAAGTTGCTTAGCTCATAACATTTAAATTGCTGTAGTTTTCTGCATCAAATTATTAGAGATACATCATACTGGAGAAGAAAATGCCTTACGTAGTATTGACTTAAAGGGAGTAGTCAAAACTATGGATCCATTATGTGCAGCTACAAATCAGAAGATAGGAGGGTTAGATAAAAAAGAAGTGACATGTCTATAGTTCAGAAAAGATTTTATTACCATGGAAACACATGCTTACAATTCTCAGTGTAATCGCCTAAAATATTTACCATCTTCTTCCAAGTGACTGATAGGTGTGGTATACCATCAACACGTTTATTTATGCAGATTTCCTACCGCGACAGCTCAGCTTTATAGCATGGATACTTTCCACCCTACAGTTTAATGGATCTTTCTCGGTGGTTCTTTCTTTTTGTCAAAGGTATCATAATCGTGCGATTAATTTTGGAGGTGTAGGACTGGTGTCCCAATATCTCTCATTGTCATTCTCACGGGAGATCCATGACAGTTCCAGCATTATGACACCGCGCATTACCACTGAGGAAGACACAATCTACATGTGACACAATCTGCGTCCGGCACTCAGGAGAAAGCCACGATATTTATTGGTGACTGTTCCCATTATCTTTATGGGGATGTGAGACATCGGAATATCATCCCAAAAATGCCACTGCCTTCTTCTGAGGGCTGAACGCAGAACATTTCAAGTTACGAATCTCCTCATTCTTCACGATACTGCTTCCTAAATTATTGCGAGCGCTATCAGGGAGCACGTGCCAAGGTGAACATAAAAGGTAGCGGAGCACCAGCCATAGAACTATGATCAGTACGCCAAAATGAAAGAGCCATGGAAAAAAATATCTATTATAAGAGTAGAAGTTTTCTACCTTCAAGAGTGGATACTTCGAGGCATGAATAGAAATGGACGGGCTGATGGTGTAATAAGCCTTGCAATAACTTGCCTGAAGATGGTAGACAAGTCAAGGAGTTATACTGAGGTATAAAAAGGGGATATACCTATGGAAATAAATGTTTTTCCAGAAATATCAATCTTTTGCCATGTACTGTTTATTCAAACTTGTGTTTTGAGCAGTTAGTACCATGTATTATCAAATTTATATTAATTCAGAACTTCAGAACTCGTACCATCACATGGTAATGTACAGGGCATGGGTAAAAGCAACAGTTCCGAGATGCTATTGTTCTAAAAATGTGTTCGCATTCATTCCCAAATGCTGCCAGTTCAAAATAGAAGTGCCAGTTCTAAGTAGAAGATGGAGTTGGCTGAAAAGAAGCTCGGTCCATAACGCTGCATTAGAAATTGGGAAATAGAGGTCAGCGACTTCAATAGATGAGATGTGAGTATTTCTTTCCACTGTAATGTTTCTATATCAGTATTTAAAGGAAAACACCGACACAGAAACAACACAGGTGAAACCATAACTAACAAGCTGAAAATAAACTCTTAAGGGCTAATTAGTTTCAACATTTTGAGTGATCGTACTTAAGTGGAAAATTTATTTTTTGCGTTGTGATTATAAAATCCGGGACCGTGTTGTGAGAGGGTCGGATAACAAGATAACAATAATTCATAAATGAGAACATAACATAAAAATTCCAAATTAATTCTGCGTTTATTAGGCATTTTCAAGTCAAAGTAATTTCCATTAATTTACTTAGTATATTCTCACATTAATTTAATGAAATTTTTTTGGCACCACAAAAATATTATCATGAACCATACATATTTATCATTCAAGACAAAACTCTTAAAGAAATTGTATAAAGAACAATACTCATTTTTTCTTTGCTTTTAAGAAAAGAGTTTAACAACTAGTCTAATAATAATTTTAAAATTAAAATAATTTACATTCTCAATTAGAAGGAACTCTCAGTTCAAATAATTAAAATGACTGCGGGAAGGAGACGAGTTTACAGTTCATTCGAAAGTTAAAGTTTTCTAAGTATTTATTATCTTCTTTTATTTTCATTAAAAAGAAATAAAAAGGTCTTATCTGGAATGGAGCCATCTTGAAGTGGAAGGAAACCTTTTCCTTAAAACCATCCTTACGACACCTGGCTAATCCGCATCACAAGGACTCGAAAACGGCACGGCGATAAATTCATACATCTCACAAGGAAAATCAACTACTCCGTCCAAGGAAATTGAAGGGTTGAAGAATGAGAGAGCCACTTAGAATGGATTGCCATAAGGAACAGTCCTGGTCCCGCTTCAGCAAGAAGATTCGAAGTAGCTAAGAATCTCGCGTGGCTCAGTCACAAAGGAGCACTCCGGCAACAATACATTTTTCGGTGATAAATTACGGAGTTCAGTTCACTGCACTTATGGACACTTCCAATTATCGAAAAAACGATAATACTGAGTTGAACCGAATATTCCCACATTTTGTTGAACAGTATTACAGGTCATATCAGGAAGCGAAATTATTGACCAATTCACAAAAAGCTGACGAAAGCATATTAGCAGCTCCCTGCCTCTGCAGTTCACGGGAAGAAAAGGGCTAGTTCAACCAGAACGACCAGGTAAAAGGACAACAGTCCATAATTCACGGCAATAAAATAACTTTTTTTTTGGTCCACGCAAGAGAACCACCTTCTAACCCGACGGTCAAGACTCAAGTCTTTTTAGATATTACAGAAAAACTCGCTCAACAATTCAGACGGTTGACACACAAAGTTTTTTTCCTCGCATTTTAGCGAAACACGCGGCCAGGGAGCATAATTGTCGCTCCCCGCCGTAAGCACTGCTAGAAGACGAACTACATCTTTTTTTACATCAAGAATACTAAGTACAGTATCTCAAAGTCAGTCGAAAAGTAAGTAAGAATGCATCAAACTCGAATTTCCTTCGCTTTTCTTCACAAACAAGGGCTCCCTTAACGGCTTCATTTATCGCCTCCAAATTTTGGGACTAAATTTCGGGTTCTCAACCCAAAAGGACCAAAATACATTCATCACACACGCGCACCCTTCTCTCAACTCGCCAGAAGCCAGACACCCAGATTGCCAATCAAGACGACCACCAGAGTAGATGAAAAGGCAACCTCTGACATTTCGTCACGTAGATCCTGTCCCTAAAGGTCAATTGCACAAAGAAATTTGTTCTCGAACTTTTCACGGAACAAAACAGCCCTGAAAAAGCATGACTTAGCAAAATTCATCTCTTTTCTGGAATCCTGTTCACAATGAAGACAAATCTTGGATAAATTTAAATAAGAGAAAGTAAATAATATTCCTAGAAGCATCTGTTTTTACGCCGAAAATAAAGCATTTTCAAAACCGAATATTAACTTAATAAAACACTAAATTAATAATTCAGAATTAAATACAATTAAGAAAAATAATTGACTTGATTTCGTTCATAACACATAATTCAAAACACATAATGATTCAAAACACAAAATAATTATCAAAACAACAACACTTCAAAATTTCACATGTTCGAGTTTTGGTTCAATCAAAATTGTTTTAAAAATACAACACAACTGTAATATAGAAGAGATTGTACAGGAATGTCTGAAAATCAATACACGTACTTTTACTAAAGTCCACCTGTTGCATAATTCTTGCTTGTAAGGGTTGTAACAGTAATCCTAAAGAAAGAAAAGAATACTACAGCAATTTAAAAAAAATAGTACAACAAAGCTTTCTGTAACTTATCGAAAACATTTCCAGGTGGCTTCAGAAAAAATAGTTTGAATTTAACTTATTAGAAATAGATTAATAAAAAAGATAATGTTTATTATAAAATTTATTTGCACAGCCGTCAAACGTATTATAGTGGCTGTCTGGAACGTAGTCACGGTCTTTTGAATTCAATCGTTACAGATATTTTTTAAAACATTTATTGACATAGCGTTAAAATTATTTCGGTGGAGGTCTGGATTATGGCATACGGTCTTTTGGCTTCAACCGTTATGAATGCTTATTATAAAATTTATTTGCGCAGCCGTTAAAATTGTTTTTGTGGCTGTCTGGATTGTGGTGAAAGGTCTCTTGGCTTCAACAGTTATGAAATTTATTATAAAATGTATTCAGACTTCTGTTTTGAGGCAGAACTTTTTCAGTACCGCCACGGTACCGAAGTAAAGCACCACCACGGTACTGAATTATTAAAATAAGCTCAAAGGTTAGGAAATTACCTAATCATAAAAAAACTTATTTTATGACTTCTAATTTAAACTCATAATCCATATTTAGACCCATTTCACAAAAATTCAAATTTAAGACTGTAGTTAAGGAGACTAGTACGTTGTGTTATCATTACCGGGAGCATGCCTTGGAGAATGATCATGTTAAGAAATACAAATAATAAGCAGAGCATTTAACCAATTAATCTATTTTATTCAATTTTGTGCTTAAGTTCTTGGTTAATTAATAATATTGAGAAACATCATATTTTTCATAAGTAAGGGATACTCCAAAAATACCAAGTGTTTTATACTGGCACAGAAACAGTCCTTTACATTTTTATCTAGCATTATCATTTCATCACAATGAATAAAGTTTCTTAAGGATCCACTCATACATTACTGATATTTTCAATAACAAGCCATCAGCTAATTTATTTTCATTAATACCGACTTCAGGAAAAGGACAGTGAAGAAAATCTATCTGCCGATTCATTCGAAGCCCTTTTACATTTAATCAGATTGAGTGTAAATTAAGAATATTAAGAAAAGGTTAGACTAACCAAAATATATAGAAAGAAAAATGACTTATCTGGATGAACCATTCTAGACGACCATTCTAGACATTCTATTCTCAGCTCGAAGACGGAACCCTCCAACAGCACGGTTATGTCGCTATGACATTGCAAGTTTTGTGACGTCGTATGGCGAAAATGATGCGAAGTTAAAGTCACATTGTTTCATTGTTATAAAGTCACACTGTGACGTTGATTCGTAATCACGCTGCGACGTTCTTGTGAAGTTACACTGTGATGTTGTTGTGAAGTCACACTGCGACATTCATGCAAAGACACATTGCCACTTTAATATAACGCCATATAATGACATGAACATATCATAATAAAGTGCCATGAATGTAATGTCACTAGAAGTGCAAATACATATCACACAGTACAGGGTTACTTTCTCAATGATACGTGTGATGTACTCCTATTTTAGTGAACAGCTAACTACAGCAATTGTTTTAGTGCTCCAGTGAGGAACTATACTCGTCAAGGTATTAAAATATTTTCGTAATATTCGTAATTTTTAAATTATTCAAAACATTTAACATAATCACTTGAAATTTTCTCATCGTACTAAGGTTGTATCTCACCCTATTAAGATTATATAACTAATCCATTTATATTTATTACATATATACATGAACCATAGTGTAGAGAAAAAGTATTACCTGTCCAGGAGTTGCATAATTTTGCATTCATTCTTCAGAATTTAATATTTAAAGACTATAATTTTCCAAAATTTCTAAATTGCCTTTAAAATTTGAGTTCTTATTACAGCTTATTAAAAATTTAACTATATTTCTTAATTTAACACTTTTTGCCCTTTTTTAAAAGTATATTTTAAAAAACTATTTGGCTTAAAATATTTATAATAACTATAGTTCTTATAATAACAACTATATTTCTTAATTTAATACCTTTTTCCTTTCATTCTAAACCAATGTTTCTTTTGGCATGCCCCACCTAATACACTCTAAAGTTCTTATGCTCGCGTAGCACATACATAATTTTTAATATTCAAAAATTGAAATACTCACAAAAGAAACTTTAATGATAGGTTTTAGGAATAAATTTCTAAGCATTTTAATATTCATGCCTATAGCGAAAATTCTTTATAGTAAAATATTTAAAATGCACCGCAATTTAAAAACATTTTTACGTATACATCACTTACATTATTCTTTAATGGGAATAAAAAACGAAATTTCAAAAAATTTCAACTTCTTGAAGAAAATTTGGAAATGTTAACGTCCTTTGTCACCTTAAACTCTGGACGAGTCCATTTTCGAATTGCTCCCTTAACAACCGGACTTCCGACCTGCGGGGCAGGAGCCCCACGTTGGAAAACACTCTTCTAAACAGAAATATTAAAAAATTACATTTGGCTTGGAATATTTTTTGTTGGCTTTGGTTATTGGCTTGGAATACTGTTTTCTGCTCTGCATTTCTCTCTTCCTTTATTGCTTTTGTTCCAGAAAAAGAGCTAAATTATTTTGATAATTGGATGAAAGCCAAACCGTTTTGGTACTATATTTATAGGACATTTACCTATTTGAATATTTTGTTAAATAGCAAAAGTTTTCATTTTGAACCAAAAGCTTTCGAAAATTAATACAATCATAGTTTCCAATTAGTTAACTACAATCTGAGTTTTTAAATTAGCGATTTGTTGCTTAATTTGTAATACTGAATGAATAGTTATGTACAAAACAAAAATCAGTAACTCTCTTTCACCATTATTCCTCCATTGACAAATTACAATTTTATAAGATTTTTTAAGGTATAAATTTAAAATAACTTTCTTACACTGCACAGCTTCAATGTATTTAAACAATCGTATTAAGGTAATAATACCGTATAATTTGTTTCATTTGGTGATTAATGTGGATCACATTTTTAAATATTTCTGCATTTCCTAAACGAATTTTTCTGTTCTCGTAACAATTAGAGATTAAATTTAATACAGTTTTACACAGTTTATTATGCAAAAGCATAACAAATTTGCATGAATTAATAATTCCATTTCATAAAACCATTATTGTTATCAAAGCTGTTTTCCTGAAAATCTATATTACTCGCTTCTAAGAATATATACTACACTATAACCTTCACAGCAATGCTTAAATACAGTTAGTAGCTCATACGGTAAACTGAATAAAGCTCAGCTGTTTATGTGTAATTTTATAAATTCTTTTATTTAATTAACACATATGCGGAGTAAACACTTATTGCATACTGACTTGAATGATAGCAGCAAAAATTAATGCATTATATACGAAGAGAAATTTTAAAATTATTATTAAGAATGAAGCGATTATCGTGAACAAAAATACTAGAGATGAATAAACTTAAGCGCGAAGAAAATCAATGATGATGCTTTGCTTGCTATAAATTTCTGCAAATATAGAATAAAATCAGTACAATGTTTTAACTTGAACATTTAGAATTATTTTCTATGATTTTACAGAGCAAAGTTAAACATTTCCAAATTATGCTTTAAGATAAAGATGAGGTAACATGAGATACATGCATTCTTGCTATTCTTCTCGTTTAACATAAACATGATTTAGTTTTTCGATTTGATTTAAATAAGATAAAGATATTATATTTCACAATTGTATACATTTAAAATATTGTTAATTAAATCCGAATGAATCTGTACAACACAGTGCCGTACCGTTTTTAAGTGAATCAGGCACTTTAAAGTACAGGGTAATCGTTTTTAAAGTGACAGTGTTGTTTGGAGCGCCCTGTAGCCCGATCTACTAGCCGAAATGGCACCAAACTTGGTATTTAGTCTAACCAAGACATGGGAAAAAGGATTCCGTGAAAAGAAAAAATTTAGTTCCAAAAATTGCCACTATGGGCATTTTGTTGGCGCTGCTGTAGCTTACAATAATGAGAATTAGCATAAAATATGGGTATCAAAGGAAAATGCAAATATTGTGCGATGACAGCACCAGTAATAGGGCCTATAAAAGCAAGTAGTAGACAGCTCTGATAAATAATCTCAGCTGAAGTAAACGAGTTCCAGTGAACATGCCTCTCACGTTAACGGAACGTGCGTTACTGGTGAAGCTGTATTACATGAATCAATGTAATGCATCCGCAGCTTTTCGGGAATTTCGAACCAGAAAAAAAAAATACGAAAGGGGCTTTTATCGCTGAATGGTCTTAAGAAAATAATTAAAAAGTGCGAGGAAACGGGGTTACTGACAATTCGCGCTGGGAGAGGACGTAAACCAGTATCAGAAGATGTAATAACTCATGTGGCAACTGCAATTGTCGAAGAATCACAGGGAACCATTGCTGGTATTAGCAGCGCCCGGGATGTAGTATGACAATAGGACATGAATTATTCCACGGTATGGAGAGTTTTGCGGCGCGTTATTAGATTTTACCCCTACAAAATCAGGCGCTTGCTCGAACTGAAACCAAGTGATTATGATAAGGGAGTGACATTCGCTCTATCGTTTCTTGCCAGGGTAGAAATTGATGATGCTTTCCCATGGCACATTCTGTGGGGAGATGAGTGCCATTTTTATCTTGATGGTTCCGTAAACACACAAAATAGCCGAATTTGAGCTTCTGAGCAGCCCCACAACGTGCACGAAATCCCATTAAATTCTCCAAAAGTCACTGCTTGGTGTGGTTTCACAGCCGAATTCGTAATTGGGCCATTCATTTTTGAGACCATCACTCCGACAGGACCCCAAACGTTCACCATAAATGCAGAAAGATAACTCGAAATTCTGCAAATGTTTGTTATTCCACAACTTAAGCAAAGAAACCGTCTCCAACTGACAATCTTTATGCAGGATGGTGCTCCGCCACACATTAGTAATAAGGTAAAGCAGCTGTTGCGCCAAAACTTCACTGATGATAGAGCCATAAGTTGCAGTTTTCCAGTTGCATTGGCCGTCTCGTTCCCCTGACCACACGCCATGCGACTTTTGGCTCTGGGGTTATTTGAAATCAAGTTTATGTTGTTGGAGTATCAAATTTATCTATTCTAAAGGACAACATAAAAAAGACAGTGCGGAATATTCCTCGTGATATGTTACATAGAGCTGTGGAGAACGTTGTGCACAGAATGCACGGTGTTATTTCTGAGAACGGTGCTCATATTGAATGTGGTCTAATGCCTCACCGGGGAAGTTAATGTAGTAAATAAACATAAATAATTTAACTGTACGATTGTATGACCTGATGTTCCATGTCTTGATTAGTCTAAATACCAAGTTTGGTGCCATTTCGGCTATTAGATCGCGCTACAGGGCGCTCCAAACAGTATCACTTTAAAAAAGATCACCCTGTACTTTAAGTTTCTTTAACCTGGACTTTCTTTAAAGTTTTCATTTCAATTCTTTATTGAAATCAGAAATGATTTCAAACTTTTAAGATGTCAAAAAGGCTCATTACGTATTTTAATAATTTTATTGTTTTTTTACTAAACGGTAATTAAAGAAACAGTTGCCTTAGTATACTTTTAATTAAAGAGAAATAGATTATTTGATTTCTTTGATATAGAAAATAGTCTTTTAATTTACTCTTAGCACAGTAAGTATGAAAACACGTTTTTGCCTTTAATTTTAGAATCTAAGAAATTAAAATTGAGTTTCAGTTATTAAGTTCAAATTGAAACTGGCTGTATTTATGAAAATAAAAGTAATTCTACTACTTAATTTTGTAGGAATAAATTTTGCTAAAATTAAAAAATAACGAAAACATAAAATTCCGCCTCTTACATTAAAATAAATATTTGTTTGTCATACTGTATAATTTAGCGCAATTATACAAAGTTTTCAGAGACTTCGGTTGGCTTTTTGTTATAAAATTTCCAAATAAATTTATTTGTTTATTTAAATGCGGCAAAGAACTGAGGTCTGACCCAATAAAAAGAATTCCATTAAGTTATATTTTACCTTAAAATCAGTTTTTCTTTCCCTGTATGACAAAGACGTCATTTTAATTAATCAAAGTTTTATAATAGGCGAATTTCCAAGTTATCATAATGAAAATTTTAAATTCCTTTGTGAAAGATGCCTTTCCTAATTTTTTTTAAGCTATTTAAATAGGATTTCAAAAATTTGTGTCTTTTAAATGTCTCTGTTTCTGCAAGTGATACGTTAAAGCAAAATTAGATGCGATTAGGTTAGATAATTAAATCATTCATAATTAGAGGGTTAGATGTAATTTTAAAGTTTCTAATAACAAAAACATATCTTGTTTACAGAAGTGAAATATTAATTTTAATAAAATAATTACTTTAAATAAAGTTTATTCGTGAAGCTTAAATATACATTTGGATTTATAGTAATTTTCATTACATTTATAAAATAGTCCGCAATAGATTTAATTTTCTTAAAATACGATTTGAAATTCGGTTACTTTCTAAAGTGAAGTAACTTGTATTTTTAAAACAAATTAATATTAATTTATACTCTTAAATGAAAGAAGTTAAAATTTCACAAGTGAAATTTTAACTTCTTTCATTTAATTCAATGAATCGGGAGGGGAAAGGTCAGTGCGCAAGAATACCTCCCATTAAAGAAGAATTACGTGAGTAAGGTCAAGAAAGGTGAGGATGGGAAAGACTCAGAATTTCTTGTGGTCACATTAAACATTTTCTGTGACGTGTATGTGACAACTGTGCGACATTAACATGCCCATCACAATGTGACTTTCTGCGACGTTGTAACGTGGTCACAAATGTAAATGTGAAGCAAATGCAACACTGAGATGTCATTGCAACGTCATAGCAACTAAATATGCTATATGGGCCGATACGTCGATGGGTCTGGAACTGAGATCAAGCTGGTAGCTAGGCGATACAAAAATTTCCCGCGAGAGTATTGCGACTCCAAAAAGTCCCTGATTGGAAATTGGAAGTAGAACACTCCGGATTTTAGCCGTCTAATCCATGGAAGGGTCAAGAACATCTCTGATTCAGCCAAGTTGAGACACTTCCGGAGAAGCACGCGAGCTACGCAGACATGAAGAATATGCGGTTATTAGAGCTGTGGTAAAACTAGAACAATATTTCAACACCACTGCTGCTGGAAAATAAACTTGCCACGATTTTTGGCATGTATTAGCACATTTCAGATGGATGCTGCCAGATATGGAACTCAGTGTGAATATAACTCCTCCATAACTCATGGGGTAAGACTTCATGTGTAGCAAGCCGATACTAATTTTCACGCGCGCTCACCTAGGCATGGCGCGACCAGCTAATAAAAATTTCCTTCACCTCTTTTCCTCAGTATTCTCCTAAAGAAAATTCGCCCACCAGCGGCCGAGCGGTAAAGTCGCTGAACACTGGTAGTTCGGTCCGAGTTTCGAATCCCGCGAACGGGCTGGCTGCATGGGTGTTTTCGTAGTTTTCCGAATTTCGTGGTGTGTAACGTGTATACGAGCCAGTTTCCCTTAGAAAGTCCTCCACGAAGGCATCCCTTCCCTTAGGCAGATAGCCCTAGTGTGCTTTGCCATAATTAAATACACCACAACACCACCTAAAGAAAATTCTGTTTCGGCATTTCAACTACCCCCAAGGGTATCAAAATCTGCTTCATCAAAAACTACATGCGTACGCTCTTCATCGCAGTTCCTTCAAAAGTGTGTCGCACTCCACAAGTTCTCGCAAGATCACAGAAGAAAATCGCAGATACCACTGTTTCAAAGCTTTCGTTATCACCTATCAAGTACCACAATTTCCAAGTATCGCCTTATCAAATCCGACAATAGCCGAGGAACAAGTCAGCAACACCAAAGACAGCCGAGGAACAAGTCACCAACGCAGGAAAATCTTACGCGCGATCATACTAAACCAAGATACCAGAAATCGACAACTTCTCACCCTTTAAACAAGACTAAAACCCCTATTCCGCAAATCAATCAAAAAACAACGTTTTGCGTAAGCGCAGCCAGTCAAAACTAGTAACCTCACATTAACTCTTGACCTTTGCAGAAAGACATCACGTACTCCAACCCCGCTACGAGCAACCCAAAGAACAAGGCAAAAAGCTTCTAGAATATTCGGCGCGTTTCCCGTAGTTTGAAAATGGAATGACACAGCAAAGTTTTGCTTCGCTAGCCCTCCTGATCTTACACATACAAATTATTTTCTTATTTCACGAATTTTCTAATTAAATTTAGCAAACAAAAATTAGCATCGAAGCACTGGTTTTCAGATCAATAATTTAGTGAAAAGTAATAATAAAATAACTATTAAATAGTAATATTAAGAGTAAAGAAACAAAATATATTAGAATAATTACAGTTTTCCTAAATAATTTTAAATACGCTTATTATTTTTCTTATGTCGATCACTTGAGTTTTTTTTTTTTTTTTTACATAACACAAACGTTAAATTGTTTCAGTGGCTGTCTGGATTGAATAAATTGCAGATAAAAAATGTCTTAATGAGGTCTACTCGTTTGAGAAACACCATCACCTAAAATTGCTTAAAAGATTATAAAAAAAAGTTTTAAATAAAAAATATTTAAAATCCCGATTTCAGTTATCCTAGAGAAATAAAACTCGATATGAGTAACCAAAGATATCTGGACACTAGGAAATTTAAGTTTCATTGCAATATAAGTGCAATGAAATTTCTTTCAAATTTATAAGAATATGAGACAAGCAATAAACAAAAAAAATATTAGACACTTTTGACACTTGTCCTCTTGATGCTGACATTAAAATACCTAATATCTCAGAGTAGTGGGTGCAACTGAAATTTAATTATACCAAAATTTATGTAAAAGTTATGCTTACCGACATCATATCGATTAAACGCTGTACAAAGAATTGGAAATATCTATCCTGTAAAACAAAAAACGCCCTTTATTATATAAAAGTAAAATTTTACATTTTCCATATTTAGGAAATTAGTACAGATCCATAGATCGGATTTTTTCTATTATGCAGACATAGAAGTCATAGAAATCTCTATCATGTAGACTTAGAAATCTTAGAAAACGTCTAACCGACATTTTATAAAAAAGGAAAAAAACCTCGCTCTAGATGTTTCCCAATGCATATTGAGTAAGTAAATTTTTAAAAATATCAAACCATCGATTTGCAGTCTGATTAGCAAATGTTTAGAAGCAAATTTTTATTATAAAAACTTTAAACATCCGCATTGAATTATCTTCTACTAATCGCCGTTTATACATCAAATTAAAAATTTTCGTTTCGTGAAAGTGGGCGGTTTATACATGAGAATTCCATAGTGCTGTTTACGAGGTTGCACAGCTTTTGATTACTGCTAGCCGATCTGTCTGATCTATTTTAATTATCAAATTATGTCTTGCGGTGAAACGTTCACGCAGATCTACTCTATGGTCTACATCACCAGAAAATGTCAATGGGGCGAGTTTTAAATAAAGTATGAGAATTTAAATTAAGTAGAGTGGGTTTAAATTTTCATCCTACTGTGAAGCTCTTTTGTTTCTGCCTTCTTTTAATGCTGTATTACGAAATTGATGAGTTTAGTTTGACAAAAATTGCGTTACAGATCGATAGTAAATTAAGCTTTAAAAAACTGAAACTTGCAAATAAATTGTAATTTTGACTGTATCATTTTTATTGCCTAGCCCGCAAAAAAGCAGAAGTTATTGTCGCTGATGTTTCAGCATATGTAACTGTGTCAATGGTTAAGAAGTTATTGAGTTCTTCTAACTGGAGCTTCAGATGAATCACAACACAGAGATAGATTGGAATAATTATGTGTCAGACGTATGCGCCCAATACCTTTTTTTTTACCCTAACGTGGGTGAAAAATAAGTCAAAATGTGCCAGTATAGTTCAAAAGCCTGGAATAGCTTTAATATAAAAGTACCTTTCCCATTATAATATTAATAATGTTTTCTTCAAAAATATGGTTTTAATGTTTTTATATGAATATAAGAATTTAATTCTCGCACGTTCCTAAGCGGATCGCATACTAAAGTTACAAATGGCATTAGTGTCCGTCATTTGATTATTATGATAATTATAGCTATAAAAGAGGGAGAAAATGTAAGCCTCGGATCACGAACAAATGTTCAAAAAGGAAAAAATCTTGGATGGCAAATGATGTCTCAAGAAACGAAGAAGTAAGCCGGCAACAAGTGAGAAGTCATTTGATCCGGGAAATGTGTACAAAATGGAGTAAAGTGCAAAGGTTAGTCTAATGATTAGTCTAATGATGTGTGTGGTTTTAGTTCTTTTAGTTTTTTCCTTTTTTATACGGCAGTTAAGCATCGTGTCGTTGGTTCGCCCTTTGTCTTCATCGCAAACCATACGAGCCTTGCATATGAGTCAGATGCATATGTGCGCTTGTCCAATTCTACACTGGATGCTACAAACGCAAATATCATATGCATTTTCAGCTATCTTTGTGAACTGTGAACAGTATTAAATGCTTGTAGTGTCATTATTACTACTATTATATCTACCATTGGATAATGAGTTATTGTTTCTATAAAACTATTCGTTTAGTTTTAATATCAATTTTAATTATTGTTACTTGTGAAAAGTTAAGCTTTAATAATGTGGATTAGTATAATATACCAACTTAATTTTAATCATCTAGTATAATATACCAACTTCTTAATCATCTCATTAAGAAGTAAAAAATCTGTAGCTACTTTACTTACTGTTTCTGATTTATTAAATATTTAGACTAATATATAGTTTTATTTTAATTACATGAAAATTACCTTTGTGGGGGGTCTATGGAGATTTCGAAAAATTATACAGGGGGCGATGATCAAAAAAGTTTGGCGACCCCTGGTCTAATCTAACCTAGTGCAAAGGTTAGCACTATCACTCTGATAATTTTTAGCAAATATTATTTGCAATGACTTTCCTTAGGAACATATCAAAACACATGCAGAACAAATATTTAATGGACCAAAGGCTCAACTATTCTCAGGCAGAGACGAACTATGTTAAGAGAAAGAGAAAAGAAAAAAAAAATGAAAATCCAGACAGAAAGTACATCCTATTCCATCTTAGGTCAAACCATGCGGAAGTGAATGACATTCTAGTGAAAAATTTCATTAGAAGCAAAAGAGTATATAAAAATAAGAAAAAAAAATAATAAAACAGATACATTGGATAGAATAAGAAATTAAATGCATAGATTTTACAGTGTTTCACAGCAGTGATATTGCAAATTGAACATAATCATTGTTATTAACCACAATTTCAGTTGTCTACATGTACAACACCGATTCATACCATTACGCATATTTTTAAGTGAAACCTAATCATGCTAGTTATGGATATTTTCGTAGCATCAAGATGTATATAAATGCTCGTTAGAAATCATCATGGAAGAGTACTTAAAAACAAATTAAATGTACATAGGAACTATAATACAATACAAGTGAAATAAAAGCAAAAAATATGCAAAATGCATAATAATAAATATACAAGATAAAATATATAATAACATACATGCCTGCATAATAAAGCGCAAATGCATGCATAATAACACAAAATATGCAAATGACATAAAGCGGATAATATTACATAAAACAAAATACATAACACTAAATTAAAAAATATTAATACAAAATACGTAAAATTAAATAAATGGCGCTTGAAGATATATACTTTTGTTAATGGTCACAGTTTTTACCGATGATGAAAAATTCTGGCATATGTGGAAGCGAAGAAATTAACAGCTTTTTCAGTCCTAAGCTGCGAAACTTTATTACAGAGCGTATTCTCTGTCTAGTATTCAGGATCCGATACTTTAAGAGGATGATTCCGAGTGGAGGGGCATTTAAATATGTAAAGGAACATATATGCAAAGTTATATTCAAATATATAAAAGGATATTCAAATTTGTCGAAGAAACAACGATCAAGAACACATGCTAAAACAATAGCACTTAGAGAACTAATTAACTAATTGACTTATAATAATGAAAGTTACATAATTAGAGTCCTAGTGATTTTCTGACTTCACGAATACAAAAAATACCCTTGTAAACCTGAGATTTTCGCCAACTGTGATGCAAAATGCCGGACCAAAATTCACACACATGTTAGGTTAGATTAACTGATCAAGGCAAAGCAACTCGAGGGCTATTTGCCTACGGGATGAAATGACTGCGCGGGGGACTTTTTAAGTGAAACTGTCTCGTTACGTTACACATGGGGAAAATCACTAAAACCGACCATGTAGCCACCGGCATTATTCAATACTTAAATACACCAGCATTATTCAATACTTTGGTCGAACCACCAGTGTTCCTCGACTTTGCCACTCAGCCTCTGGTGGGCCTTGCACCCAGACAGACAGCAGCTACGTAATATTCTTATGGAATAGGTTTCTTTTTCAAACATAATTTTGTACCGTTTGTTTCTTCACAGTTTCTATATATTCCGTGAACTTTCCTTCGCAAAGAATACGATAAAATTTAAATCAAGGTTTTCTATTTTTTGTATGTACATTACTCAATTAGATATAATTCTGGTTCTGCATTACAAACTTTTCTAAGAAATAATTTGTGATACGCGAACAGAGTAATTCACTTTACATTTATTTCTATCTAGAGAAATCTATTTCAGTTTACGAATATTTCGGATGACGGACTATCTTCAGGAAGAAATTTAGTTCAAGAGTCAAGTTTCAGTGCACTAGGTAATAAGAGGTTACCCACTCTTTCCAGAGCATCTTTTCCAGAGTTTAAGAAAAGGATGCTCTGCTGAGACAACAAAATTTACTGCAGCTAAGGAAGTAGCGGATATTAAAACTGTTCCTTTGAAAACAGGAGCAGAAAAAAAAGCCAAAAAGCAACAAAATAGTTACGTATTGCAAAACCATTGCGAAGAAGCTACAACAGACTACATTATTTTTCAGATATTTCCTGCAACAAAATCATCCAGAAAAACACAGGTTCACATATTATTGCAGCTTAAAACCATCTTCACACTAATATATCTTTGCGGGATAGAGAATTCATCAACACTGACTATGAAAGCAATAGCCCAACAAGGCCTTTCTACCCAGCAGAATTTAATCTTGATACGAAATTACAAGCTCTATCAACTTTTGAGTCATATGCTGCATATAGTGATGTATCAAAGAGGGTTAAGGTATAGCCTGTGGCTTCTGTACGATACGAGACACCATTTGGACACGAAAACTTAATAATAGTGTTCCAAGCTGAGCTTGCAGCAGTTAGAGCAGCAGTTCTCTACAGCATTATAGTTGGTCACGAACTAACCACATATTCTGACCCAGCGTCAAATCTCCATTCTATACGGGGTTGAAAAAGTTGGAACACTATCGTCAAATGGGATTCAGAGAATACTACTCTTCTTGCCTACAAATAGGAGACCAAAGCCCCAATGAGTCCGTGAACACACTGGAGTAGATGGCAATGAAAAAGCAGGCCAAATTCCCAAATTTTCAGCCACGAACGAATATACGCAGATTACCATGGCCGAAGTCGCACATGAAAAGGACCACTAAGGCTCTTTTCATGGAGCGGTGGCAAAGTTCCTGGGACAACGAACGATATTGGCAGGAGAGTATATAATTACCATCCCCAGATCAGAGATAAATTACCCAGTGGTACTTCTGAGCTGACATAATTCCTGACGGGACATGGCCCATACATATTTATTTCAATTAGGCTTTAGAAACAATGCGCATTGTTTATGTGGAGGGTCGGAGTCTCAGACCATTATATTGACTATCCAGAAGCTAGTGCTTATTATTTCTGAATTCCATCATCTGAAAACAAACATGTATGGGTACGTAACATCTGCTTCAACACGTACACGCTTAGGCGTATCCATAAATGCACTGGTATAGCTCCTGGAATCCCCAATCGACTAAATAACTAAATGGCATACTGCTACAACTAAGGGCAGTAAAAGAAATGACATAAACTTGAAAAATGCATAATATGCATATGTTCTCAAGGTATATCAGCGAACAAAATAAGGATCATTGTCAGGGTTCACACAAGCTGATAAGCCTGTGGAAACCTTGACTGTGTAAACCATCTCCAAGTGGAACAGCTGCTGTGCCGGTGAAAAATATCAATTTAATATCCCATATGTGCATGTAAAACAAAATTAGTTTCACTATCATCCGCTACTGATCTTTCAGAATTAAATTAAGAGTGGAAACGCACATGTCTTATTTCATCATTCGATTTTTGAATAATTACTTTAAGCGCTCATAAGCAAACATTTGTTCTCCTTACTTGTGTCTCAGTATCACTTTCACACAATTGCCTCATGCGGTCATCTATATTCTCAGATTTATATGTAATTGGAGGATCGAATTCTTTGTACCATTCAAACACTTTTAGAAGTTCCTAAATAAAATAAAGAAATTCGATATATTATTGAATATTTACAGTCATACTAAATATTTTAAATGCAAAGAGATAAAACAGAAACGTACACTGATTAACGTAATTTTATCACACAGGAAAATTTTCTACGCACAAGTTTTAAATTCCACTAATATGACACAAAGAAATTAGTTAATATTATAACGATTCAGGGGTCTTTCTAATTGCATAAACACCTGTATTAAACGCTTACTCCTCAAATGTTACCATAAAGTTATGGTGCAAGCAATCATCTTTAGCTTAATCTAACTTTGAAAACAACAAATGCCCAAAAGTTTAAATATTAACTTTATTTCACCTCACTACTTGCGAGTTCTAAATTAAAATAACAAAAAACAAAATACGTCGGCTTGACTTTTAGCAATTAGATGGAGCTTAAAAATTCAACTGGCTACTATAATAGTGCTTCTAATCAAGGCTACAATATACTTGGTTCGAGAAACTAATCTAAATCAAAACTCACGTACCAACTTGACCTATCTCTTATTCGAACAGTAGCCTCCGAAAGCAACGTAAGTGCAGCAGCCAAAACACTGCGAAGAGTGTTTTCTACCACACGTTATGCGATTTTGATTCTTCCTCTCAATTTAAATTATGCCACGTGAATGTCACATCTGCAATAATCTCTAAACTGAGCGAATACGTGAGGAAATGAGGCATAAAGGAAAGATTTGAAATAAACTGTTAACTGAAATGTTACTCTCGCTTTTCAGGGAAAAGTCTTTGTTATTCACAGTCTCAAATGGACTTTATGAAACGTTAAGCCTATTTTATAGAGTGAGAACCGTTTGAAGCCTCATCACTAACTCGAAGCATAGCTTGAAATCTTTTTACATCCTTCCAATGGGACCTAGAAAGGAAAACAATTTTTTATATTTATGTGCAATAGCATATTTCATTTTGCTACAACATATTCATTTCTTCACAAGATAATTATGTACAGTCTTTCCTGATCTTTTCCAAGGCCTCAGTGTTTGTGTTGAAGCCACCAAACTGTATAGGTTGTATTAGAGCGGACAACTACTCCCAAACCAAACTACACAACATGTTAATACTATGCGACAAAACTCAAGTATTCCTAAGCACTGCAAGCTATCCCAATGTCAGGTTTACTTAGCTGTTAAGACACAATAACACGCCGAATAAATACTAATTCAGAAGTCAAACAACAAAAGTCAGCGTTATATTTACAAAATTTTCACAGGTCTAGTTTCGATGGTTTAACCGAACCACCATCCTCAGCTGCAAAACCGCAAATGAACAAGATAGGAAATAATGATTAGATAAGATAAAAAAGCCTAGACAAGAATAAGCAGGTGGCGCCATCTGTTGGTGAAACCAGAACTGAAACATAATTTCTTTAAAGGACGAAGGCAAAGTTGGATTGGAATTAGGATCGTTAACTAGAAGAGAAAGATTTTTATGAATGTGAAATGCCTCTAGAAAATCCAGTTCTCCAATAGAAGATGTTTTTTGAATAATTTTGGCAGCAGAAAAATTGAAAGTGTGATTTTCGGACCAACAATGTTGAGCAACAGAAGACTTCTGTGTTTCCTTTTTTCTAACATATCCCTCATGTTCCTTGAAGCGAAATTTTAAGGCTCTCTTAGTTTGGCCAATGTAAATTAAATCACACTGGCAAGGAATCCTATAAATACCCCAGGAATTCATATCCGGAATGTGGTCCTTGAGTATGGAACTCGGAATTTTATTAGTGGGAGAATAAACAACCCGAAAGTTAAATTTCTGCAAAATATGTGCAACTTTATAGCTAATTGATGGAAAGAAGGGAACGACAAGAGAATTTTTATAATCTCCTAAAACATTTATTCCTATGTTTTCCGTGCTCTTCAAGTTTGCTCCTCCAAACGAGGCCTTGATGAAGAACTAAATTATTTAAAAGCAATAGCTATTGACAGCTTTTCACCACATTATTAATCAAGCAGTTAAAAATTCTCATCTCAACACACTCAAAGGCACACTCTTGTTTTAGGAGATTATAAAAATTTTGTTGTCATTTTGGTTCGGTTAAACCATCGAAACTAGTCCTGTGAAAATTTTGTAAATATAACGATGATTTTTGTTGTTTGACTTCTGAATTAGTATTTATTCGGCGTGTTATTGTGTCTTAATTGTAGAAGTCCCAAACAGGCTTATTTTTTGCTTTCTTTTTTGCACGTGGTGTGGCCGCCATTTTGTAATTTCATGGGTCTCGGTAAGTACATTTTTACAATTTTCAAGTTCTGTTTATGTTTTGTATATTTGGACATTGTGCTTTGCTTGTCTGATTTCATGCATGTTGCTTACAAACGTTTTATTTTCTATTCATTTGAATGAGGGATTTTTCTGCTGTTTTGTGTGTGCTTTATTATTGCTTAGTTAATTTAGTTTGATTTTCTGCTTTGTTTATCATGCCTTCATCTGTTAATCGTTTCACTAAATTACGCCTGAAACGGCAAAAATTCCTGAATCATCTTGACTTTTTACTTAAATGTAAATGTAAAAAATTGGTCCCCAATTTTATTCAAATCAAATCTAATCAAAAACCTTCGAGTCGCGTTTCAAGAATTCTGTTAAATTGCAAGCTTGCCATACTTCGGTCCATCATAAGGGATACACGTCAACAATTGTCCAAAATTGAACATCAACTCTATAAGCTTCATCTGGAACTCGCTAAATCATATCCAAAATTCACTGCCCTTGAACAAAAGTCTTGGTCTAGAACGGAGAATGCAGTTAACCGTCATAAAAACACCCTTGCAGTTAAATTCGAAAAACTCCTTTTACAGTCTTCCAGTTCAAGTAGTCAAAAAATCTTCCCATCGTAAACATCAAGCTAATAGTTAATATTTCTAATGTTAGTCTTTCAGAAGAACAAGAGAGAATTCTAAAGTATAATTTTAACTTCTCACAAACCTGTAAACCTCGATTCCGAAGACTTTGGCTCCTATCGAAAAAGCTTTCAAGTTCAGTAAAGTTTCAGATTCACAGAAAGAAATGATTAGGCATCTTACCGCTCATAATGTGAAATTCAATAATAAACCTTTGAAACCAAATCTAACTGCGAGAGAAAGAGCTACAAACAATGCGCGAAATTCATTCTAACCCGGATATTATCATTTCAAAGGCCGACAAAGGTGGCCAGATAGTCGTCATGGATAAGAACACTTACATCGATGGTGTCACTAAACTCTTAAACGAAGGACCATATAATCCGATCCCTAAAGATCCTTCACCTTCGGACTTATCCAAAATAAAAACTGCGATCAAATCTTCGCAAATCATTTCAAGCAACTTAAAACATTCGCTTATCCCATCTGTTGCGAATTGTGCCAGATTATATGCTCTTCCCAAAATTCATAAAAGTGGTATTCCTTTCCGCCCTATTGTATCAAATTTAGGTACTGCCTCGTATCCATTAGCTAAATATTTAGTTTCTAGATTTTCCACTCTATTAGACAATAACATTTACACCATAAAAAATTCAATAGAGTTTGTAAAAAAGGTTAAAAACATTTCTCCTAGTAATTTACTCATGATTTCTTTTGATGTAAAAATCATTATTCACCAATGTCCCAGTGGAGGGTGCTTTAAGATGTCTAGAAACCAGACTTCGCGAATTTCATTTCTCTTGCATCGAAATTGATGAGCTAATTTCTCTCACTCAACTCTGTTTGAAACAAACACATTTTGTTTTCCAAAATAAATATTACAAGCAAACTGAGGGATTAGCCATGGGAAGCCCCCTCAGTCCCATCCTGGCTGATATCTACATGCATTATTATGAATCAAAATTGTTTGAAACTTTAAACTTCCCTGGCATGGTTCCGCTTACGTAGACGATACTTTTACCCTGTTTGAAGGTAATAAAGATGATTTAAATAAAGTTCTTTCAACGAATGAATTCTATTGATCCTGCTATTCAGTTCACTTTTGAACTTGAGACTTGCAATTCTCTTCCGTTTCTCGACATTCTGGTCACACGTAACACATCCAACTTCAGTACTACGGTTTACCGTAAACCTTCATCGGTTTGCCTTCCACCACACTTTAAATCATGTCATCCGACTAAACAAAAGTTAGCTTCATTTTATTCCTATGTTTTCCGTGCTCTTCAAGTTTGCTCCTCCAAACGAGCCCTTGATGAAGAACTAAATTATTTAAAATCAATAGCTATTGACGGGGCCTTTTCAACCAACATTATTAATCAAGCAGTTAAAAAATTCTCATCTCAACACACTCAAAGGCACACTCTTGTTTTACGAGATTATAAAAATTCTATTGTCATTCCCTTCTTTCCATCAATTAGCTATAAAGTTGCACATATTTTGCAGAAATTTAACTTTCTTGTTGTTTATTCTCCCATCAATAAAATTCCGAGTTCCATACTCAAGGACCCCATTCCGGATATAAATTCCTGGGGTATTTATAGGATGCCTTGCCAGTGTGGTTTAATTTACATTGGCCAAACTAAGAGAGCCTTAAAATTTCGCGTCAAGGAACATGAGGCATATGTTAGAAAAACGGAAACACAGAAGTCTGCTGTTGCTCAACATTGTTGGTCCGAAAATCACACTTTCAATTTTTCTGCTGCCAAAATTATTTGAAAAATATCTTCCATTGGAGAATTGGTTTTTCTAGAGGCATTTCACATTCATAAAAATCTTTCTCTTCGACTTAACTATCCTAATTCCAATCCAACTTTGCTTTCGGCCTTTAAAGAAATTATGTTTTAGTTCTGGTTTCACCAACAGATGGCGCCACTTGCTTATTCTTGTCCAGGCTTTCTTATCTTATCTAATCATTATTTCCTATCTTGTTCATTTGCGGTTTTGCAGCTGAGGATGGTGGTTCGGTTAAACCATCGAAACTAGTCCTGTGAAAATTTTGTAAATATAACGCTGATTTTTGTTGTTTGACTTCTGAATTACTTAGATGTGTTAGCCGTTTAGCATAATATT